TTTTTTTAAAAGATTTATAATAGCAGGGGGTGAAAAAAAAAAAAAAAAAAAAATCTAATAGTAGATTTGGTTCGCCAATATTTTAGTAGGCTATACATATGTGGCTATGTTACAGCTCCCCTTTGAAGCTCTTGTGTTTTTCTCCTTTTCCATCTCTCCAATCCTATTCTGCTCACAGGTGATTGGAGATGAGTTTTGTTCCCGCTTTGTTGCAGTTTGCTGATTTTTGTCAAATAACTTATGTTTTTGCCTTTCAGATAAAAGGGTAGTTTCAGTTTATTATGTTGCGGGCTCATTTACTGGTAATAAATAATATTGAGGATAATAAATTATCAAAAAATATTGGGCTTGTTTTTGAAGCTGCGGTTGCTTATTTGTCTCGCGAGAGTTGGCAACAGTGTTCAGACGTGAGAGAATCCGTATGAAAATGGAAGGGGGTGCAGCTTCTCCAAACTTCTTGGGGCAAAGTAAAGCTGGATATGTCCTAAGTAATGTTGCCGAGGTCGTGGAGAGGATTTTGACATTTGTCCCGACTAAAAATCTCTTCCGGATAGCAAGGTAAGTTAATGATGCTAGCTGAGTGTGGATGTTTTAGCCTGTTAGCTTTGAGCTAATCAGAAGACCATCACAGCTTAAGCGGTATTATATAAACTAATTTTATAAATGAACAGCATTTGTATGTACACGTTTACGTTGTTGAGTGAGTCGGTTGGGACTATCTTACTGGTTTCGCTTTTTCGTTCTCAAGACTAGATCAACTAAAATACATCAGTTATTGCTGCCAGAAAATACGTTCAAAGATCTTAGTTAACGATAGTTGTTGTTGTTCATCTGGAGGTCAGTTGTCACTCAGATTCGTAAACAGAATGCAAATAAATTAGTCTGGGTGGTTTAACTTTTAATTTTAGTTGATGGTTCATTGCCATAGTAACTTGCACTCCACGGCTAACCTGCTCTTAGATAACCGGGGCAGGTTATGTTCTGAGTTAGAGATCTCAAACTGAAATTGGATCAGATGTGAGCAAAGTGACACATGTCTGACACTAAAAAAGTCACTCCCCCAGTTTATCTTGCTCCAAATTAAAGGTCACTAGTACTAAAAAAAAATCTGGCTTTAATTATAATGACTTAGAGTTATTTTATATGACTTATATAAATGATACGATTTATATTATTATTAATCCATTACACACAAGCAATTTTAGTTGAACAATTATTATAAATCATTTATTTTAAATGAATGTTAATATATACAGATCGTATGTAATATAAATAAGCTGTAGAATCAATAGATAATGCATTAAAAATGACTACGTGACCTTACATGTTCCAGTCTCTATCGCTGTATATGACAAATTTCACTTGTGACTGCACTGATAAAGCAAGATCATTTATTCTATTTGTCCTCTTTCATGAACAAGTACTTTTTTCATTGTAAATGCATTTAAATTCATATTCTTCAATCTCTTAACCTTTAGCAAAACCTTTAACCAAGGCTCGTGATTGGCTGTTCGCCAGTGATGTCACACATTCATGTGCACGTGCTCCACAAACTCAGGATCAAGCCTGAGTTGACAAAGAAAGTTGATGATCAGCATCATGGTACCAACAAAGCCGGATTGGAGTGGTTTGGTTTTGTCAACTTGAAACTAGTCCTGTAACTCCGAATTTGTTCATCTACCATCATGGTACAGGCCCCTGATCTGTTAGTTGATCCTAATCGTGTAAAACGCAAACACCAGGGGCTCCAGAGCAAAACTTAAGTTGAAAAACATTGGTTCCTACAATGAAACACTTCAATTATATTTTTACTTGTTAAATTCAATTGGTTCTTCATTCATTGAGTGTGTAGAATAGATTATTATTGTACCTTTTAACAACAATTACTGTCATTATGAAACTATCCTTTACTATATATAGTAGACTACGACGATTGACGGTATACAAACTACAGTGTGTCTTAATATCTTTTTGTATTTAGCATTGTCTGTATTTGAGTTTGTAAGAATATGTCTGCCTGTTTTTTTGGTAATCGAGTATTGGATTTTTTTTGGACCTAACTGTACAATAGCTATAAAAATACATGTATAATAACAATGGAGCATGAATAAATGATCAAAAGCAAGTAATCTTACGGTTTTAATAAACAATACGGTTAAAATACATTATGTAATAGTATATATGTGCGCATATGTTGCAACATGCCACCCAAAACTCTCTCTTACTTATTTTAGTAAAATATTTAAATATTTTTTAGACAACAAATCATTGATTTATTACAACAAAACACTGTGAATATCTGTATTTACATAATTCCATATGAGCAACCAGTTGCAGACTGAAGTCTGACTAAAAAACTAAAAGGCACAGTGTTTATATCAATATCTGTTTGAATGTTGATATTAGTGTTTCTTTTGCTGTAGTGTGTGCAGGCTATGGAGGAATTGTGCACGCAGAGTCCTGAGGACGCAGCAGAGACTGACCTGGCTCTCTGCCTCTGGCTCATCCATATACGATGAGCATGTTTTGCTTAGAACTATGGCAGAAGACTTGGAGGTCTGATGGTCTTTGCTGCTGCTTTTTTTTTGTAACAGAGAAGTTAAAGTTCTTATAAACTCTAGAAATGACAAGCATATTCTTTACAGATTTTTGAAATGTCTGTCTTTTCTCTGACTCCCTGCAGAAGATCTATATGCTGCCCCAGACAGCTCTCCTAATGGTGGATGGGGAAAACTTCAGTTGGCCTTTTAGTTACAGACACAAAAAGGGTAAGTTATATGATTACTTGTATTTTAAAAAACCATGTTGATCATGATGAGGAGATTCACCCGTTCTCTTCCATCCATTCTTGCTACAGCCAGGAAGTGTGAGTATGAAGTAGAGTCAGATCCTGTTGAGAAGCTGAGATGCATACTGCCTAGCACTTGTGATGTAGTAGGCATTGTCGCATCAGGAATTGTGGGTAAGACTAATTGTCCCTGTTTCCCTGTATTCTGCCATTACTCTGTTTGTTGGCAATGTCAGTGCAGCACTGTAACTGTAATTTCTTATGCTGTGTGCTACAGTGACCCCCAGTGGTTTACCCAGCAGCCCCCCAGAAGAGCACGAAGATGGTGAAGCTGGCTTCAGTCTGCTTTTCCCTGCCATGGATGGGGTCACCATCCGGCCTTTTCACTTCTGCAAAAAGAGCCTCAGTGAATCGTCAATGGAGGAAGCAGGTGAGTTGTTTAGATTGTAGCAACTGGTGCAATTGCGGTTTGTTTTTTCTTTTTCAAAGACACATCTTTTCACCAAGACAGTGAATATAAGTATATAAATATTATATATACATTTTTTATATATATATATATATATATATATATATATATATATATATAATATACACAGTGTTTATATGATCAGATATACAGTAAAAAGAATATTGTTAAATATTATTGCAATGTAAAATAACTGTTTTCTAAATTAATATATTTTAAAATGTTATTTATTCCTGTCATCGCAAAGCTGAATTTTCAGCAGCCATTACTTCAGACTTCAGTGTCACATGATCCTTCAGAAATCAGATTTTGTCTTCATGAAACATTTCTTATTATCAGTGTTTAAAACAGTTCATATTTTTGTGGAAACCATGATAGTTTTGTTTCAGGATTCTTAAAATAGACCGTTTAAAAGCACATTTTGAATTTGAAATAGGATCTTTTGTAATATTAATGTCTTTTTGATCAATTTAAAGAGACAGTTCACCCAAAAATGAAAATTGTCATCATTTACTCAACCTCATTCCATTCCAAACCTGTATGAATTTATTTCTTCAGCTTAACACAAAAGAAGATATTTTGAAGAATGTTGGTAACCAAACAGTTGATGGTACCCATTGACTTCCATAGTATTTTTTCCATAGGATGGAAGTCAGTGGGTACCGTCAAATGCTTGGTTCAAGATATCTTCAAAATAGCATTCTTCAAAATATATTTTTATTTGTTCTTAACAGAAGAAAGAAACTCATATAGGTTTGGAACGACATGAGAGTCAGTAAATGATGACAGAATATTTATTTTTGGATGAACTATTCCTGTACTCAATCTTTGCTGTACAAAAGTATTAGTTACAATAATAATAGTAAGTCTTACTAACCACAAACTTTTGAATGGTAGTGTATATAGACATTGGTTTGGATGGTAAGTCATGTCAAAATACTGTGTATTTGATTTTCAGGGTTGATCAATAATCCTTATCTAAAGGTGGTGCTGATGTTTGACTATGAGACCTGGAAAGCTGGAGGTGGGCGCTTTCTTAAAAAGCTACTGAAACCTCTTTCTCAAAATAATGTACTTATTGTTGGAGGACAAGTTGAGAGGGCCTTTTCCAATAACACAACCTGGTAAGTAAAGAAAGTTCTTGATTTTAGATGAGTCAAGTTAGTTCCTGTATTTTATTTATTTATTTATTTTTGTCATATATTTGTGCTTGTTTTGTATGTAGATGTTTTATGGTCAAGACTTCATACGTCCTCTTCCCAATATTTTTGTCCAATTTTTCCCCCCTCATCTGCCCACTATGTGAATAAGAGATCTACTCTGCCTGATTTCACACTGTGCCTTTCTACATCATGATAATTTCTAATTTAACATTTTCTCATTGTCACATACAGGAATATATATTTTTCACCCCATTTCCTCTACTGTCGCAGACATTATTACAAATATAATCTTCATTAGTAAGGTTCAAATGTGTTCTGTCTCTTTGCAGCTGTTCTCTAGGTTCTTTTGGTGCAGTTGGACTGACCTTCAGTGGCTCCAAGATCCAGGGTGCCTCAGTGCTGGTGGACCAGGGCGTAAGCAGCCCGAAAGCAGCAGAGGCCACTATTCAGCGGCTGAAGGCTGCTAATATCCCAGAGAGAAACACCATGGGCTTCATGTTTGCCTGTGTGGGCCGTGGCCACAACAGCTACAATAACCAGCGTAACGTGGAGGCCAGCGCTTTCCGGAAGATCTTCTCCAACATTCCACTTCTGGGATTCTTTGGCAATGGGGAGATTGGCTGCGACCGTATTGTCAAAGAGAACTTTACATTGAGCGAGACAGATGCTGATGGACTACAACACTCTTTTACTACAGTCATGAGTCTTGTGCATTTTGGCTAACACAAACTCAAAACTGAGACCGTTGTCACAGCAAATGACTAGGAATCCCCTTGTTAACTTGGTCTTTCAGGACAGATGCCGGCTGCTTGTTTAAGTTAACAGAGCAGGTCCGATGGTGATCAGGTATAATACTCCTAGGTTCTTTCCTTTTGACTTGTTTTTTTTTTTTTTTTTTACTCTGTCAACCATTCAGTTTTCTTGTGGGCTGTATGGCTCTCTCAGGCCTTATATACAAATAGTTTGTAAAATTCAGGCACTTTTGAAAAAAATTAAAAGGTAATTGTGAAGGAATGGCTAATGATGTGGCCTTTCATCAACCTTGGTACAGCTTATGGGACTTTGGTGGGAATTCCACTATCTTCACTTCTGATCTTACATGTCCAATAGCAAGTGCTACAAAACTGCAGGAAGAGTATTCACAATGAAAGACATATCTGGCACATATCTATATACAGTAACAATTGACTTGCTTGCATCTTTTAGTGTCCAGATTGGAATAATAAAGGACAGAAGCGGAAAAAGTGGAATTTCTTTGTAATATATCAGTGTATTTACTCTGCCTGTCCCAATCAAAATCCAGTTTAATTCCAACTGGGTAATCCTCCATTTCGATATTCATCAGTTCAGTTGAGTTCTTAAAGGTTAATCATTTATTCTGCTCACTAGCTAAATAACACATTTTGTTGATCACAGATAAGTGAAGTCTCAAAGGGCTATTTGCCTGCATTGTGGAGATATATATTTGCTGCAGTATTTAGAAGGTTGATTTAAACTGTTGTTGCCAAATCTTTTTTTCCCAGCTTTGTTCAGATCATATATATATAATACTTTGCTTTAAGGAAAGTAAGTTTTACTACTGTCACATATTTTTATGGCAATGTGTTGGTTTTTCTTCATCTGATGTTGGGTCGTGCAGATATCAGCCCATGAGGTCTGCATGTATATAATAAAATCAATGGTGTCATCTGTTGATCAGTGTGGTGCAGTCCATACCCTTTTTACATTTCCAGCTGTACATGCGCGGAAGTAACTATATGCCATGGAAGACCATGGAAAATTGAACTTTTGAGTTCCTATTTATTCCAACAGCTAAATAAAATAAAAAAAATCAACTATTGTGTTTTCATAACTTTCTAAGATGGGAAACAAATATTGAGAAATGATCTATGGCAGCCATAAGAGAGAAAGATGTCAAATTTAGACACCCTATCTCTCCAGTGTTTACAACATTTTGTAATATATTTCCAGGACAATATAACTCGCAGTATAGTGTTGCAAATGAACTTGATTTAAAATGAAAATATAAAAAAAGAACTTGATTGATACTGTTAATTATTGCAGTCTGTGAAAAGAGTCCCAAGAATTCATCAATGCGTTCTGTCTCGTTTCTCCAGTAGATGGCTCTCTCGTGCAACAGCAGTGTTTCTTGAAAGCGATCAGTGGAGTTATTTGGTAATTCCAGTCAAAATGATCTAGAAATAAAATCTAAATACCAATTAAATTGATAATTAACTTAAATCTTTTAAAGTCTAAAGCCCAAATAAATTGGATCATGTACTGTTGAATTAGTGTTGAACGTGATAAACTAACGCATAGATATTAGACGCAGGGCGATCCCTTACCAAAAAGAAGTATACTTCAAGTTTATTTTATCAAGTATACTTAAGTAAAGTTCAAGTATATTTTAAAGTATATTTTATGTAGAAAGTATACAAATATCAGTGTACTAGTAGTATACTTGTAAGTGTACTACTTCAATACTCCTTGGGACTAAATTGGCCCACTTTCTAGTTTATAAAAGTATCCTTTTAAGTATACTTTAAGTATAACAGTAGTAAACTTTGAGTACACATCTAGATAACATCAATATTTTTAGCTTGTACTGTAACTATACTAAAAGTGAACTTATAGGTATACTGATAGTTTACTAATTAAATACTTGTAGTAGCATTTTTAGTACACTGAAGTATAGTCTCAGTAAACTACTAGTTTAGTAGTTTTGTACTGCAAGTATACTCGTAAGTTTTCTTTAAGTGAACTTTACATCATACTTTAAGTATACTACTATGTCCCTATTTAGATATTAATTTGTATATATTTTGTTATATGAATATCTGAACATTCAAAAGAAAGAACAGGGTATCGGCTTGTAAACAAAAACATTTTTATTCTAGATTCATGCATTCTTTTTTAAACACTTGAATGTGGGTAAGTTTCATAAATAAAAAATAAACGACAAAAGACAAAAATACTTCTTTTTTTAATTGGATTCAAAATGATAATCAAAACGTAGATAGAGTCAATCAACACCCCAAAGCTTGACAGTCATTATTACCTCTTCATTGTTCGACATTTTATTCCATAAAGTTACACAGTTTTGATGCTGTTTTATGTCTGATGATCGTATTAGATTACATATGGAAGCGTCTGTTGTTTCGGTTTCTTCTTCACTTGTGTTTTTTGGATATTCTGTACAGAAGATGTGTACTAGCGCTCCCTACTGTATAACAATGAATACATGGATTCTAGGAGCACATGTATAGCTCAAATATATTTAGACTTTTTCTAAGTACAATTCAATTATACTTAAATTTTATTTTAAGTATATTTCTGTGAAGTACATAAAAAGTAGACAAAGTATACTTTCCTATCTTTTTTTGTTTAAAATAAGTATACTAATAGCACACTATTGAATTAACTTATTTTTCTTAAGGGATGAGCTCCAGTTTTTTTTGTTGTGAGTGTGTGGGTTAGTATTATTAGATGTCAATGCCAAGCGCATCACAACAGACAGGCTGTTTCCTGTTCATGTGGTTAGGTACCCTGGTAGCCCGGAGCAGGTCTCAATAGGGGCGGTGGTCAGATAGCGACCTGCCTCAGGACTAATGCAAACTGAAGCCATTTAGCGTTGCAGTACAGTTCCCTCAGTCCCACACTAACTCCCATGGCCACAATGCACAGCAGGTGAAAACCTCTTACAGGTGAAGAGTGGGTTATTTTAAAGTCCCTTCACCACAAAAAAGAGTGAAAACATCTGTTTAGCTCCTAACAATCTCTTTGGTCACATTCCATATACACTGCCACTCAAAAAGGCCCCGGTGGAATTGTGGTAAATCTGGTTTTCAGGAACAGACACAGCGTTATGGAGGAACATGGCATCACGATGTGCACTAAAAGTGCAGATCTGTTGGGGTGCAGGCGTTTTAAAACCTGAACATTGTCGCCTCAGGGCTTTTGAAGTAAAGCCATTCAGCCTCACTTTAAGAGTCTTTCCCTGTTGAGAGCAGACTTAGAAACAGGACAGACAGACCTGAGCTCTGGGACCATTGTCATAAAGAGCTATGTTTTGTAGGTCACACACAGGGGGTGGGCCACTTTGCTCAGAGTTAGACATCCCAAGTGTGCAAAATGTATTCAGACATTTATAGAGGAAAAACAAAATTTTGAGGTAGAATGTCTATAAAACAGACAATATATATGCATATATAGACAATATAATATTAATCTATATCTGCACTGAAAAAACTGAGAAACAATTTTCACTCAGAAATCACTAGTATTTCACAAACACAAAGAAACAGAAAGTAGCACATTGAATTAAATGAATTACTACAATGATCTTTGTTTTATTTACAACTTCAATATATATATATATATATATTTTTTTTTTTTTTTACAGTGTGTAATTTCCTCATCTGCACTGTATGGATAAATGACAAATATTGAAAGAATCTCATAACGTTATTAGTATGGAACTTAGCATAAAGTAGTTTGATTATTTTGACATTGATAAAAGCAATATAAAGGGAAATGTTGTGTTTATGTTAGAAGGTATATATTCAGAGTTTTGAAATTTTAAAAGTGCACATTTATGCAAGTGTTCAGTTTATTTATGCTGCTGTTGCACAGTAGTGTCTGTCACACACCAACCAATGTATAAAAAACATGAAATAATAAAATGTCTATAAATAATACCTTTACAATGTAATAATAACTCTCATTAGTACTTCTAAATAAAATAGTAATGTTAAGGATGTGTTTGTTCTGTAGCATCACATCCACCTCACTGATCTGAAAAAGCTCAGTTCCTATCATTCAAGGAACTGTCACAACATAAACATGACACCCCACTTAGTCTGGATTTTCTTTAATGAGCATCACGCTAATTAGCTATTATTAATTCAACACAATTTTGTTGTGAATTAAATGTATTCAAATATTTACTCAAGGTTGTTAATTTAATGCAAGTCAGACGTACAACGACAAGCTAAAAGCATGACATGCTAAAATGACAGACTGTTACTAATTGGGCAAAGAGCCGGTAAATGAGAACTGATACTATTAGTTCCCTAGCCAAACCATATATTTACAACTGAAAAGTCAGTCATACATATTCATTATTACATATTATCTACTGTACATAATAAAATAATTGCAGTAAGCTGTTACTTTGCTCTCAGTAAAAATAAGACGAAGAAAGAAACGGTTAAGACACTTGGTATTTATAATAATTCTCAACTTATTTTTTCCCTTAAAATGATACATTTTCTCAGTTTAAACATTTGATATGTCATCTATGTTGTATTTTGAATAAAATATTGAAATTTGAAACTTCCACATTGCATTCTGTTTTTATTCACAATTTGTACAGTGTCCCAACTTTTTTGGAATCGGGTTTGTAATATAAATTTTTAATTTGTATAATAAATTAAATGTCAATTTTCAAATATCCTTACAATAATAATTTTTATATATGAAATTATTACAATTGTTATTTAAATTTAGCTTTGAAAATTATTCAGTGAAGCGATTTTAAACGCAATATCGGGTGGTCAGGCCCCTTAAATATCAAAAGAGTTTTAAAAAAGAGCTATGAAACCCACATGCATGGACACACACTTACACCCTGAATTCAGTTCTCAAATGAATGCAATGTCTCAATAATTCAGCAGAGCTACATTACCACTGGGTGGAATAATGGACAGTTGAGAATTCACAGGGGAGACAATACATGTTTCATCTGACTACCTTTGTCTCTGGGTCCTTTAAGTGTTTGTGGTTTCTGACCAAACCTTTCTTAGCTGGCCTCGTGCTTCTTTTAGTCTCCCCCACAAAGTGCAAATTAACCACTTCTAGCCCAAAACCAACTCAGTATTCACACTGCAAACATGACTTTAATAAAACCACAGGGAGTCATTTTAACAACTCTCTGAAGACTCAATCTTCATATTTCTCTCAAAAATAGTAGAAAAGATGCTGCTGTCTGCAACTAGAAAAACAAATAGTGCAGAAAACCTGTAGTACTCAGTATGCTTTCATAAATCCTCATATCATATCAGCTCTAGTTTCTGTTTGATGGAGTGTTTAAGTGAAGAAAACTGGACCTGAAACTACCTCTGAGATACTTTTGACACTGATGGAGGGAGACAGTAAGTTGGGGAAACAATGAAAGGGTTGAGTGCAGATATGTGACATCACAAGCAGTTCCTGCTCTGACCATTAGACACAGAACTCAATAATTCACATCTTTCATAACCAGTGCACTTGAACTTGTGCACTCAATTTGAATGTCCTCAATAATGAATTCCATGCTGTATCTATTAAAATTGAAAATATTACAGACAGAAAAATACTAAAGTTTAAAATGCAGCCATACATTGCATGATGTGCAATTCCTAGTAAACACACTAAGAACAATAAAACAAAAGACCCTGGTGGGGTTTTTATCACTTTAGACAATAAATATTATTTTCTTTAAGAAATCTCACCTTAGAGAGATCGACCATACGGCTGTAGTCTAAGAAAATCTCTCTGGATCTTTATTATTTGCTATTATCTAAAGGAATGTTGTAGGTTTTCAGATAATAAGTAGAGAATAAGTAACAGATGATATTATAAAGCCAGTCATGATCAAATAATTTGATGTCTTCCTTTAGATTTTTATATCTTTAGAAAAGTTCTGGCTTTAAATTTAAATTTAAATTCTGGCATTTTTGATATCTGAAAAGCTTAGGTGTTTGCAGAGAACAAATAATAAAAATGCTGACAGCATTCATTCCTTTGTTGTCAATTAATTTCTGAATTCTATATAGCATTGAACGGCTGGATTCATAGCAAAATCAATACACAAGTAACCCAAACAAGAATATTGCTGGATGTTGTAGCATTGCACACAGTATTCAAATGGCCACCACATCGAATCTCAAACCATCTTTCAAAGAGATATGAGCCAGGAGAAAAATGCAAATAAATTATACATCATATTTTAAAAAGCTTCTCAGGTTTCTTATTGAAAACATTCTTCTTAAGTGCATGGCACCCCAGTGCAGTGAAATTGCTCGGCTGAAGACATCTACTCCAGAGACTGTTACCATGGCTACAGAGGAGTTTTTACACTTCACATTTACATAAAAGTTTTTCACTGTATGGATTTTATCCTCTACTTCCTGTAGAGGAACTGGGTCAGACACACCGAGCAAAGCTGGGAGACTAGAAGAGCTGGATAAAGCCAGGAGAAAGGAACAGGAGCAGTCTGACACTGTGAGAAAAAAAATTGTACCATTTAGGAAAAAAACAACCCCTAAAATTTACCCCCTAGATTAGTACCTTAGATTATTAATTTGTACTCTTAATGTACTATCAACTTTTTAGTGTTGAATAAGATAAAGATGTCCCTTTTAGGGTACTTCCCCACTGACAAGCTGTTGTACCTCTAAAAGTGCAATTTTTGCATATTTTTTTGTGTATGATGAAGATGCAATTCAAACACTCTGGGCTATGAAACTGATTGAACAGCTGAAACAGAGGAGGACACTTCACTGAAATTACAAAATTACAATTACAATTACAAAATTACAATTAAAGACTGAAATATGGGAAATTGTATATAACTATTATACATCTTCATTGCCATTATTTTATTTACATTTATTCATATATGAATAAATGTAACAATTTATTCCCCATGACCTATAAATTACATAAAATATTTATTTTATATATATATTGTCTATTTGTATATTTTATTTATATGTATTATAGATATATAGAAATAAAAATGTATTAATTATTTTAATATTTTGTTATCATTAACATTTGTTCAACAGAAAATGACAAATGAGCCTGCAGACAAAATTATATATAACTATAAAATGTATATATAAAGCTCTCTACTAAATTTCTCTAACTTAATAACCTGTTGTTTCTGAAAAATTTTATTTTTCAGCACCTAAATGTTATTCGTAACATTTTTTGCAGGGTTAACCCTATGATCACTGTGTGACCCCACAATAAACCGTCTGTAGGGAATACATACAAACAAACTGTCTCACAATTGAACATACTTTAAAAGAGTTGCACTTCACTGATCATGCTGGATGGTTTCTTAGAGATCTCATGACAAACCCAGCTCAGTGGCTCTAGATACTCCCCTCATCCATACACAGGGCATGAGGGTCTATGGGAGGGTGGGGGTAAGGGATCGGAGCCCAGCAGCACTTCCCTGTGGCCCCTCCTGGGAGCCGCCCATCAGCTGCTCTCAGCTAAATGGACTCACATATGAATATTTCAGTGCCATTTAATGCTCCTGCTGCAGCCCCCGAGGAGCCCGGCATCAATTTGTGAACATGCCGCTAAAAGCCAGGAAGTATAATCCAGAGTGAGAGCTGCTCTCCTCCCCACCAGGCCTCAAGTCCCCAGCTACAGCTTTGGCAACTTTCTCCTGCCAAACTCTGCTGACTTCTCCCACCCCGGTTTAAAAATATATGTATATCTGAGCGAGAAGCAGACAAATGGTCTGGTCATTTGCCCCTGGTTGGTCAGTTTTCCCAGAGCTCTTGTTGCTGTGCAGTCTGCTGGCTGTTAGGCAGTGGAGAGGCCAGTGATAGTCTGTTCATCTTCTGGCCCCATGGTGCTGCTAAAACGCTCGCATGGAGCAGGACAGCGGGGATAATATAGCCACGCTCATACCACCTGCCTGCCCACTAGTCCCATGGGCACCTGAAGCAGAAATCGCCATATTTAGATATATACATGCCATTGTTCACTCATCAGGTGTGAAAACATGAGCACGCTGCACTTAATTAAACAGCTGGAATCCGAATCTAACCAGTAGAAAGCACAATGAAAATCATTGCTGGCACTGCAGCCTTGCAGCACACTGAACAAGGCTCCAGAGGAGCAGAATACAATCTCAAATTCAAAAACACCAAATTTTGACTTTCAAAAGTCAATGCAGACATTTGTCAAATGTAATTGCATTATTTTTTTGTTTTCTTATTCAGTTGCAGGAAAATGGATGTGAACAATTTCATAAATTGCAGAAAATTTTAAGAAACATATTAACTGTTTGTTAAAATTTTATCTTATATGAAACAACATTTTTGCACACCTGAAGCTCAATAGTGATGTCACAGAAAAGCAACTCAAAGCACAGGAGTAAATCAACAGCAGAATAGCTTCAAAAGATGAAAATATGCATTGGCATGACTTCACACCCAAATATCCCAAGAATACGGCTGAACTGACAACAGCATTATAAAGATAAATGGTGCAAAATTCCTACTGACAGTTGTGCAGGTCTGATCTGCAGTGCGGGTATTTTGCCAAAAGAGGGTTAAACAGTCTATGGATAACTTTCCTTGTCCTGTATTGTGAATGTTCACATTGTGTTCAACAGAGACAGATGTATATTTGTTTGTGTGTATTTGTCTACTACTGAGGGATAAGACTGAAAACCATGAACACTTTATGCAGAAATCCAGCCAAATCTGAACGGTTCACAAACATATTTCTGCAACTGTATTAAGTACCGAAAACAATTGGACAACTAATAAGAATGAACTATGCAGGAGTGAACGCACAGTTTCTCATGGTGGTCTGCAGAGGAGCTCACACATATAGTGACACATATTGGTAAAGGCTCTTAATGAAGGTGCAAGAGCTGTTCTGTGTTGGCAGGGACAGAGATACATGCACAGCATTTGTAAAATAAAAGACCAGACTGACAGCAACATTGTTATGATAATAATGGCATTGCTTCCTCTGCCAACAATGCAGAAATGCCCTAAGGCAGCGCTAAAAAATTTATACTAATTATTATTTGAATGCTGCATTAAATCAGACCTATGTTAAATTATATATCAGCAACATGATTCTACTTTCAGAGGACCATGCAATGAGGACCTGATTTTTTTTTTTTCACCAGTTATTCTGAGCTGGTGCTAAAATCGCCCATAAGCATTTATATGAGTTTCATTGTTTCAAAAAGAAAACTAGGAAAATCTCCATGTGCATTAAAAACAAAAATGAACTGAAAATGACTTAATAATATTCACTGCTATTTATGGTTATGGCGTGATTTATTTATTTCCATTCAAAATTGTGTGCATTGAATTCTGACTGTGGTTTTGGCACATGTAGCTGTTCTGGGGCTGGCTGGACACACAGCACTTTAAGTCTCATTTCTGATGAGAGCAGTAAATAATTTAGGGCTTAAAGCTGCCATTAGCCACACTTAAACTCTGCTAATGCAGACCCCTGACAGTTGGCCTATCCCCATTGGATGGGACCATGGATCAAACGGTTCTGAACAAAATAATGGGCTATACTGAAGCACAAAATCTGTCAATAGGCATGTGTTGTTTGTTTTTGCTTCTGCACGTTTGTTGGTTACGCTGTGGTATTCCCATTACACGGCTTATGACTTTAAATGCATTCAATGTTTACATGCATGTTCAATGCACAAAAAACAGTGACCCTGTGGCAGCCTTATATAGGCTATAACATTATTTCTTGTCCATAGCATTTCAATTACAATTCTGGATGTTTATTTTCAATCATGCTTTATCCTTACTGTGACAATTAGGACCCACAATAAATATACTAAGCTTTGTTTGTTCATGTGAATATGGACATTTCACTTTGCTATATAGGCTAATGGTAGGCCTACTATCCTTAAGGGATAGTTCACCTAAAAATGAAAATGTCTGTATCAAAAATGTCTGCGTTCCAAAACTCTGTGACTGATTTTCTTCTGTGGTATTTTTTGAAATGTCTTAAAAACACAATATCAATGGCAAGTAACTAAAAAGGGGTCAAATAACATTCCAACAAATAACAATGACAAACTTCATCAGTTGAAAATACCCCCTTACCTGAATATAAATAACGTTTTAATTTTAGTTTGTATTCATTTTGCCGTTTCATTTTGATAACTTGATTGAACTTCATTAACTGGGTTTTTATGCATATTTATATGCGAATTTTGGGATATTTGGGATATCACATAATGTTTACCATGATGCAACTACATTTTCCGCAACAAAAAAAAGGGAATAAAAATTTGACTATCGCTTGATGTACAAATAAAAGTTTTCGTTACAAACGACAGAAACATACTGTCTGAGTATGATGTGAAAAAATACACTTTTAGATGTGCATAAAACATCATATGGTTTTGTCTCAAGTCATGTGACTGAGTAGGCTATAAACATTAGGCTACACTTAACAAAAGAGCCCCCGTGCCTTTAGTGGTTTATTTTCAGTTGTTTGTGCCAATTTCCCCGGAAGTGACGATTTTGTTCTCTTCAACATGTGAGATGAATACACATAGGATGAAAAGACTGATTTTTGGGGAATTGTTTTACGATATCATATTTCATATTTTCGCAAATATTAAACTCTGGAATGGATGGAAACTTCGCAGCTGGCATGTGAAGACTGTCTCGTGGAAAGTGAGAACGGAGTGTAGTTACCTGTGGCACTGCAGGACATAATTCATGTCACATGACAAACGACAGTTCTTTTCTGATCATTTTAAAAGGTCTCCGGGACCCTTCGGTTCGTGCGCTGCATGGGTGTCAGTATTACTAGCCTACTACATCTCGGCTATTGCCTTGGGGTTCGGATTGAAGAGGTTGTACAAGTGAAGGAAGATGGCATAAATTCGGCTTGAAGAGCGAAGACGTGCAGCAGGTTTTCATGCACATTCGACCATTAACTTCCATACAGTTGTCTGAAATAATCACGCGACTGCTATGCTACAAGCAGAAGGCATATGCCATGGTCCAGAAGTAGTCTCATATCTGGCAGGAGTAACGACGTGTTGGTGATAGAAGGGGAAGACAGGTTTCATTACTAAGCAGAGATTAGTATTCTTATAAATAACAAAACAATTATGCGGTTCATCCCTTATGTGACAGAACTGAAATACTTCAGTGTTCTCATGTTCTCCTTCTGCAGTCTGAAAAATTGGAACAGTTTTGAATGATACACAGTTTGAAATGTCAACAGAGCTTCAAACATAAGGTTACAATTATAATATTAGAATATAAAATTATTCTAAAGCTTTTGTTTCTTCCTCCAGTTATCTCTATTTGTAGGCTGCTGCTGCAAGCAAACGCAGTTGCCCTTAAAGTGAACTCTTTCATCACTAGTGACTGCACTCGGGCGTCTAATCAAAGTATGGATGAGAGATTCATTTTCGCATATTTAGCCATATCTGCTACTTACAAATTATACAACTTTCCCGTAAATTGTAGATTTGTATTTATCGTTGTAATCAAATGAACAATTATAACATCCACTTATTTTAGAATAGAATTGAAATGGTTAAATATCGGAAACATTTTGTTTTTCAAAACAGCAAACAGAATTAGATATAAGCCTCTGAGACTGTGGAAAGTCTAAGTAGGCTAATTATTTGATAAAAAATGTTAACTAAAATGTGTAAACACTGCTTTGTCGTTTCTATTTTGGATTTCAGAATTCAGTAGACCTAAATTTGTCTAGAATAAATCTTCCAGAATCAAGATTTATAACACGATTTATATATTTACATATTAAAAGTAATCGCTGTCATTCATTCTACCCTGTTTTTTTTATAAGAATAAATCAAAAAAGGCATACGACATCGGTCCTCCAACTCCGCGTTGTTTTCTTAAATGAATATAAGATTTTTTTCGGGTTTGTGGTTTAGCTTTTCAACCAGTAGATGTCACCCTGATGGTAGACTACTTCGATCCTAATGAGACACTTGGCAAGATTAATCTCACCTTTCCTAGAGGTATGTGTGAATCCAGGAACCCATAAAATACCTCACATTGAAATACCCCACGTCTAATAATCGTACCATCCCGCAGCCAACCTCACAATATAGGCTGCATATTAAGATGTTTTCATATTTTTCTGGAACAACACGCACAGTTATCTGATCATTTCTAGGGAGTGAAATGAATCAATATTGGGTGCACTGTGACTTGTTGCCCCCTACTGACGCGTCTTATTTGCGCCTGACGTCATGTCTCGTGTAGCAGACATCTCTCTCTCTCTCTCTCTCTCTCTCTCAGCCCCTGTTCCTGCGTTTACCCCCCTCTCCATCCTTCCTCACTCTGGATTGAAGCCGCGGGGCAGCCGGGAGCGGACAGTACATTTTCTCTCTTTCTGTTTCTACAAGCAATCTTCTCTTCCCGCAACCTGTATGGTGGATATAATATTCAGCTCTTCTTTTTTGGATGATATGGGGGATCATTCCAAAAGTACGTATTTCCGTGAAAAAACCCCCAAAAAACTCTACAATACTAAGTAACATGTCAGGCTACTTCATGATTAAAATTAAGTGTTTAAATTTGATTGAATGTTGTTGCATTTGTAATTTGATTATGCAAATGATTAGGCCTACTGTTTTTTCTGGGCTACTGATTCTGCAGTATCTGTCCTCTTAGAAATACTGTCTTGATCTTTTCACTAGTCCAATGTTAGTATTTACAAATGATGATTTCGATTTATTATTAGAAAACATTTGCTATGAACTCCTGTGTAACAGCTCAAAACAATGCTCTTTTTCATGTTCAGAGAAGTCCGGACTTGCGACGTGTGTAGGCTGCGGCAGTCAGATCCATGACCAGTATATTCTGCGGGTCTCCCCCGACCTGGAGTGGCACGCAGCCTGTTTGAAATGTGTGGAGTGCAACCAAAACCTTGACGAGACTTGCACTTGTTTCGTACGGGACGGGAAAACGTACTGCAAGAGAGATTATGTAAGGTAGGTTTTTTTGTTTGGTTTGTTTCGGAAAAGTATGAATCATACATGCATATGTATTTTCGTGAAATACTCATAGTTCTAAGGATCAAAACATCTGGCAAGAGAGAAATTCAATTAAAGTTAAAAGGTATTCTTCGACTCCAGGTTTTGTCATTGAACTAAATTATTTTTCGATTCTACATCCAACAGATTGTTCGGTATAAAATGCGCAAAATGCACTTTGGGCTTTAGCAGCAGTGATTTGGTCATGAGAGCTCGGGACGGTGTGTATCACATCGAATGTTTCCGCTGCTCGGTGTGTAGCCGACAGCTTTTGCCCGGGGATGAGTTCTCCCTCCGGGACGAGGAACTGTTGTGTCGAGCAGATCACGGTCTGGCCCTGGAGCGCGGATCAGGCAGCAGTCCTCTCAGTCCGGGAAACATCCACAGCAGAGGATTACATATGGCAGGTCAGTATAGCACAGTAATAATCAATTGACTTAGCCCCCTATATTATTACCTTCGTATCGGACACGAACTTATAGAAATTATAGTATTGAAAAACATAAAAATATTATTTGGAACGGTTAGAGCTTATTTATTTGGAACGGTTAGGGTTTATTTAAGGTCAGTTTTGGAACTGAACACATAGGCACAACTAAAAAGTAATTATATAGGCTACTGTGAGAGGGATCGTGCAATGTTGTTACATAATAGCTAATTACAGTCTGATCCGCTTGATTACTCTGTTTAGTCAACCACTGATAAGCCTGCAGCAGGGCCTTAAACACAGAGAGCTGCACAAAAGACTCAACATGCTCTTTAATTTCCTACAAATGCATATTTGCAAAATACATAATACGTTATGCAATACATTATTGGTTAAATTAAACGTAGCCTAATACTGATATTATAATTAATTATATTTAATATTATATCTTTCATAACGCCAGATTTATTAATTTGAAGATTTTGAAAATGTCTTTTGTTGTGTGGTGATATAAAAAATACAAGATTTGTATCCACTGAATATTTGTCTATCTATCTATCTATCTATCTATATATCTATCTATCTATCGTGTACATTTCCAGTTTTATTAGAAGTGTTTGTATTCTTGTGTAATAGGCCTATTCAAAATGCAAGTGTGATATATAAATTATCTTTCAAAGGCATTATTCTTATTTTTGACATTCATATTCGCTAGTAGCCTATTTCATGTAGGCCTACTTTTCAAATGTATTTAATTAAAAAAAAAAATCGTTCGTTCTTTTTTACATTTTTGCTCAGCTAAGCCTGTGTCAGTCCGGCAAACTCCTCATCGGAACCACACGCACAAGCAATCGGAGAAGACCACTCGGGTGAGGACGGTGTTAAACGAAAAGCAGCTACACACTTTACGGACGTGCTACAACGCAAACCCAAGACCAGATGCTCTAATGAAGGAGCAGCTGGTGGAGATGACAGGTCTGAGCCCACGGGTCATTCGAGTCTGGTTCCAGAACAAGCGCTGCAAGGACAAGAAAAGATCTATATTCATTAAACAGTTACAACAACAGCAGCATGGCGACAAGACGGTAAGTGTCTTGCTAATTCACTTTCAGTGTGAGAAATTTACCATGTGCTGCAAAAAAAACGACTTTGACCAGTGTGGCTCTGAGTGATGCCTGACACTTGATATGAACCGAGATGATTTTAATTGGGTCTGCAATTCGACTGCAGTGTTGGCTGGAAGCAAATCACAGACTCCTCCTACTGTGTGTGATTTGGGGAAAGTTTTAAAATCTGTTTCATGCTGCATAATGCAATATAGTTTTTTTTAACTCAAAAAAAGGCCTGTAGCTGTGTCCCCTCATCGCAGACTTTTTGGTTCAGAATCTGCAGGGTATGACGGGCACTGCGCTGGTTGCAGGCAGCCCAGTTCGACACAACCCTTCAGTGCCAGGACACCCGGTGGAAGTGCAGACTTACCAGCCACCCTGGAAAGCTCTCAGCGAATTTGCACTTCAGAGTGACTTAGATCAACCTGCTTTCCAACAGCTGGTGAGTGGGGGAGGAAGTTGCATTTGACTTAATTTTTATGGTTATCATACTTTTACTTTAGGCATATAGTCAGATTGAGACTAGCCTATTATTATTATTATTATTATTATTATTATTATTATTATGCCTAGCTATTTATTAATTTATAGTCAATTTTGCCTCTCACTTTCAGATCTCTTTCTCGGAATCCGGTTCTTTAGGAAACTCATCAGGCAGCGACGTGACCTCTCTTTCTTCACAGTTACCGGACACACCGAACAGCATGGTACCGAGCCCGGTGGAGACGTGAGAGCGACTGCGCGTCAGTTGCGGGAAATTCCTCTAGCATCACTGGACAGCGCTCTCAGACTTATCGCAAAAACCTGCACTAGGAACAGAGGAACCGTTTTTCCTAAGTCCGTGGTGATACTGGGAGTGAAATGATGGAAAGTGAAATATAAAATGTGGGACCATGTTCACTCGAAATGGATATTCGTTACTCGTTATGATGACTGTTGTATCTATGATTTCTGGACATTTTTTGAAAAAATCTTTTCAAATGACTCGATTTCAGAAGATGGGATTTTTTCGTTGTGAAATTTATTGGCAGACCATTTGTGTCTCTGAGCAAAATAAGTTATTGTTATTTATTGTCACATCAATTCGCAAAATAAATAAATACATCAATAAATAAATTAGCACAGAAAATTTGTATTTATATTTGTGAATGTAAAATGCGTGAATATAGGCTAGTCTTATGAAAATGTTTAATTTGTACAGAAAAACGCGGAGAGGTGGAGTATTATTAATATTATTATAGTAGTAGGCCACTCATAATAATATTATATCATAATTATTACAAAAAAAATAATAATAATAATAATTCGGAGAAAATATCTCTTACCTAATAGCCTACCTCTTGGAATTGCTCCGTTTATTATTATTACTGATTACTTATATGCCGTAATTTCCTTCAACGGAAAAATACATAAATGGCTACACATATTGGTTTGTTCAAAATCAAGTAGGCCTAATTAAAGATAGCCTACACAGTCTAGCCTATATTATAAAATAAATAAATTAGCTAATTTGCCTAATAGCAAAAAATTTGCAGGTTCCAAACTATTTCAAGGTAAATTTTTTAAAATGATTTGGCGATCTGTGTTCGGATTAAGAACAGACTAAATTATGTCGTTTTTTCGTTGATCAAATCTTTAAAATGATTAGTTCCCTTTTCCTTGGCAAATTTACGTGTTTCGACAAATGTTTCAGGATTGCTTGTGCTTTTATTTACTTGTGCCATTACACCAACAAACCATAGCCTACATTCACAGAACCGGAGCGTGATTTGAAGAGATTACGCATTCACCAAAGCACTAAATATGCACAGAAAATTGAACTGAATTACACTGCTTATTAAATTGCACATAAAATTATTTGGTTATTCGTTAACAAATCGATATTTTAAAAATAGGCTTTTTGTGATTTCAGTCATTTCAGGCCTAATTGTGAGGCTTACCGTTTATGAAAGACAACTGCAAATTTGAAGGTCAACGAAAATTATTCCTAAATCAGATTTTCTCTGAGAAGAACTTGATACCTGACACAGATTTGGGTAAGTTTTTAGCTATTTCTGTACAGTCCAAACCTTTCTTACTAAATTAAGAAAAGATGCACACAGCCCAAAAAAGGCAACACAAAAAGCCTACATTCACAGAACCGGAGCGTGATTTGAAGAGATTACGCATTCACCAAAGCACTAAATATGCACAGAAAATTGAACTGAATTACACTGCTTATTAAATTGCACATAAAATTATTTGGTTATTCGTTAACAAATCGATATTTTAAAAATAGGCTTTTTGTGATTTCAGTCATTTCAGGCCTAATTGTGAGGCTTACCGTTTATGAAATAGACAACTGCAAATTTGAAGGTCAACGAAAATTATTCCTAAATCAGATTTTCTCTGAGAAGAACTTGATACCTGACACAGATTTGGGTAAGTTTTTAGCTATTTCTGTACAGTCCAAACCTTTCTTACTAAATTAAGAAAAGATGCACACAGCCCAAAAAAAGGCAACACAAAAAGCTACTACACTCTTAAAAATAAAGGTGCTTCACGATGCCATAGAAGAACCTTTTTGTCTAAATGGTTCCATAAAGAACCTTTAACATCTGAAGAACCTTTCTGTTTCACAAAAGGTTCTTTGGGGCAAAAGAAGGTTCTTCAGATTATAAAAAGGTAAGAAAGAGATGGTTCTTTAAAGAACCTTTGACTGAATGGTTCTTTGTGGAACCAAAAATGGTTCTTCTATGACATCGCTTGAAGAACCTTTTGAAGCACCTTTATTTTTAAGAGTGAGATGCTGCTAAAGAACAGGGGTTTTCATATAGTAGGCTTCAGGTGCTATAGATACAGGTCCAAAGAGACAAGTTAGCACTTTTTGGCTTGTTCTAGTGAGCTAAAGTAAGGCAATGATAGGAAGGCATTCAAGGATGAACCTGTGTAGGATTTTAGATAACCTGAATGTGGTTCTCAGCTCTCTGAATGTTTTGCAACCCATTTCCAGCTACATTTAGCTCTGACCACTTGTCATCTCATCGTCCAAACCAGAAATGAGCAGTTGTAAATGGGGTTTAGCTGTATTGCCAATTTCACTTATTTGTATACCCACTGAAATAGTTTTCTGATGTTTTTTTTCAATAACACAGTGTGTGTATGTTTGTTAATGTTCACACAGACCTTACAGCACCATTTTAACCTATTCCTTGCAATAGAACTATAAATCAAGCAACTCCACCGATCTGAAGACATACTAAAAGTTATGAATTCCCATTAGGAGAATAAACACACACAAGGACACTGCTAGCAGGCCAATATGGACATGCACACACACACACACACATCCCATTAAAGGCATGGAGGGAGGTCAAAGCCACCCACTCTACAATAACAGACTATAAAACAGAGTTCACAATGGCTTCAGCATTCACTCATTCACTCGGCTTTGTGATTGAGTCTTAAAGAAATAGACACATCTGGCATTTGAGGGAAATGGACATCCAGAATTCTACAAAGTGGCTTTTCAGAACAACACAATGCCCTTGCATAATCCAAAAGTTTGGTAGTCACCAAAAGTTTGGAAGCTTCCTTCATATGTGGGCTGGATCAGATCAGACAGTGCTAGGATTTTGGTCACACACAGGTACGGATGCAGAGCTCAGGCCAAATTAAAGTAGATGGTGTGGGGGAAGCGCTGTGACCATGGCTCCATAAATAACCAGGATTTATTAGATCTTAAAAACACTTTTAACAATACCGACCCTAATGCATTCTATGTTTGATAATGCACTCAGGGCTTTAGGAGCAGGATAAACAGACCCATAACTCATGTTTTTTTATCATTCCAGCATGGGGAGAACGCAGAGTGTGCTCTACAGCAGCATTGAAAGGGTCACCACAATATTGCTTTCAAATTAATGGCTACCATCACAGCAAACAAACCATCCTCAGACTGGAGCCACCCCTCCTATTTTGCCAGCAATTGTTCAACATTTTATGTAAATGTTTGTGATAGATATTCGCTTTGTGGAGTCATACGACATTATAACAGTCTGTGGAATAGGATGTAGCAGTGAAATCGTCTGCCAAAGATTTTCCCTGATATACAAAATCTAAACTTGAAAGGAATTTAAGTATGTAATTTAAATTTGGAGGAACATAATTTTTTGACTAATCACTCCTTTAGAGGTATATAGCTTATCAAATGCAACACATCAGTTTTTTTTAAACAGCGTAATAATGAACAGCAATATATTATTCTACAGATGTCACTGGGTGTAGCCTGAGTGACTGAGAACTTCATGCGAGTGTTAAAAGAACAGCCTCTGTCAGTGAATCATCCGAATCTGATGACGTTCCTGGCTGTGTTTAATTCGCATATTTTTTGGGAATGAATCAAGGGTTCTGTTCTCTGCCAAAGTGCTCTCAAAGGATAATACGAGGAGGAATAAATCATAAATACAGCATGAACATCAGGAAATTAATGTCTTTTCAGAATATTAAAAACTAACATTGATGATGTACAAGGTAATGTTTCTCCTTAGGGTATTATGAGGACTTCATAATTATAGGGATATAATATGTTAGATTAATGGTACACCAAAGAAGAACTAAAATTTCTTCTGTGGAACACAAAAGAAGACATTCTGAAGAAAGTTTCAACTGCTTGTCCATACAATGGAAATCAGTGGGGTTCAAAACAACACTGGACCTCACTGACATGCACTGTATGGATAATTAAAAAAAAATAAAAATCTTCTTTTGCATTCAGTAGAAGAAAGAAAGTCATACTGGTTTGGAACAACATGAGGATAAGTAAATGATTACAGGATTTTCAGCATACAGGATGTTCCTTGCTACAGCTCACATGGTCCATCATCAATTGTCCCATGGTCCTGAGAGAAAGAGAGAGAGAGGTAGGCACTGAATGAATGGGTTGTGTCAGAGACTGGCCTTGGGGTCAGCATTGCTTTCTTGTGCCAAAACTGTTTACGTTATCCTGGGGGAGAAGAAAGAGGCCGAACATGTTCCCTGCCAAACATTTATCCTGTCTCAAGCCTGCACCCAAACACATACCAGGAGCCTACACTGACCGAAGCTGCCCTTAACATCAAACACCAGAGATGGGCACTCGTAAAATCCTCTGTGCTGAACTTCACCCAGGAAAAGAAAACAGAATACTAGCAGTGAGGCAACGCTTTGAAATCAGAATGGCACAATAAATAAAAGATTCTGCATGCTTGTTCAAGAGTCTTTTGTTAAAAGCACAATGTTTTCTACAGTTGCTGACAGGTGAGATTTCCATGTGGCTGACATGATGACAGGAATCAGATTAATTAGGAAATTCTTAATTAACATAGTCTGAAGTGTTTTAAAGTTTAGAAGAATATATAGTATTTAAATATATTTTTTATTAGTTAAATTCTTCTAAACTTTCAAATGCTTCAGGCTGTCTTTTGTTTATAATAATATAATTTCAAAATCATCTTGGTGCTTTCATTAGTATGAATGCAACTGTACATATTCCTCATTAGATTGTTTTGACCTGAGCGAGGTTGAACAGAATAATCTTTCATCTTTCTTAATTCAGTTAAACTGTAAAAAAATAAAAAATAAACCAAAGGGGGTTGTAAATAAACCAAAGATTTGTCGGAATATGTTTTACAAGAAAATAATATTTCAGTCTTTCTACTTCAAAATTTCTGTGAAAATTATTTCAAAGTAAATCCTACACACATTTTTTTTCAGTGTACGCTGAGAAAAAGGGTGTAGAAACAATTTTCTCTCAGAAATTACAAGTAAATTTCACAAACAATTACAAACAGTAAAGTAACACATGACATAGACCATTACATTTTAAAGTAGAAAAACTTAAATATTTTCTTGTATAATACGCCAATATTTTTTATTTACAACTTCGAAACAGACACACACACAAACACACACACACACACATTTTTACAGTGTAAAATATATACATTTTACAATTCCCCATTAATTTAATTTCCCCATTTGTATTTAATATGAAAATCAGTCAGAATGACTAATATTATAAGATTAAACGTTTAAAAGGAAAGAGTTTGAATGCCATAAGACAAC